ACAGACGGGGCTGGGAGAGCAAGGGGGAGGGCAGGGTGACAGACGGGCAGGGGAGAGCAAGGGGGAGGGCAGGGGTGACAGACGGGCAGGGGAGAGCAAAGGGGGAGGGCAGGGGTGACAGACAAGGCAGGGGTGACAGACGGGGCAGGGGAGAGCAAAGGGGAGGGCAGGGTGACAGACGGGGCTGGGAAGCAAAGGGGGAGGGGGCAGGGGTGACAGACGGGCAGGGGAGAGCAAAGGGGGAGGGCAGGGGTGACAGACGGGGCAGGGGAGACAGACGGGCTGGGGAGAGCAAGGGGAGGGCAGGGGAGACGGGGCAGGGCAGGGGTGACAGACGGGGCAGGGGAGAGAAAGGGGGAGGGCAGGGGTGACAGACGGGGCAGGGGAGAGCAAAGGGGGAGGGAGGGGTGACAGACGGGTGGACAGACGGGGCTGGGGAAGCAAGGGGGAGGGCAGGGGTGACAGACGGGGCAGGGGAGAGCAAAGGGGAGGGCAGCGGGGCAGGGCACCAGGGGAGGGCAGGGGTGACAGACGGGGCAGGGGAGAGCAAAGGGGGAGGGCAGGGGTGACAGACGGGCAGGGAGAGCAGGGTGACAGACGGGGCAGGGCAAAGGGGAGGGCAGGGTGACAGACGGGCAGGGGAGAGCAAAGGGGAGGGCAGGGGTGACAGACGGGGCTGGGGAGAGCAAAGGGGGAGGCAGGGGACAGACGGGGCAGGAGAGCAAAGGGGAGGGCAGGGGTGACAGACGGGGAGGGGAGAGCAAAGGGGGGAGCAGGCAGAGCAAAGGGGAGGGCAGGGGTGACAGACGGGGCAGGGGAGAGCAAAGGGGGAGGGCAGGGGTGACAGACGGGGCAGTGTGGGAGGGCAGCAGACGCGGCTTTGAGGTGGCAGGGACGAGGGGACGACGGCCAGAGAGGGTCAGAAGAGAGCCGGAAGAGGAGGAGGGTCGGCGACGGCCAAGCGTGGGCCAGAGACAGGAATGTGCAAGGTGCATATAGGCGAGGGTTTGAACAGCGCAGTAAACAGAAAAGAAATGATAGGGCGCAAAAGAGACAAAGAAGATGCTTACAAAACTCGGATGAGGACAAGAGACCGGCTGAAGATGAGGGCAAGGGCAAGGGAGGCGGCGGGAACGAAAAGGCAAGCAAAAGTGAGATTTCATGTCGTTAACCTGCTTCAGGCGCTCTGGGTCAAACCCCTCTCTCTGAACACATTCACTTTACATCGTCAAGACATCATGTCCGCATAAAAGCAGATCCATTAAATTCCAGATGCCCTCGCGTAAGACGCATTATCCCCATCTCGTGGCTAAGTATCGAATACTTTATCAACCCCTACACAACCCCTACGCGGACACGGATACACGGCGGCGCATTGACCCTTTCGGCGAGCGGGAGACAGTCGACAGGGTCTGGGCGTAGCCTGTAAACATGTATATCCAATTACGCGAACATTTACACAAGCGATCTTCGCACCGCAGCCAGCAATATGTCAGGGGTCACTTTTAGCCCCCCCCCCCCGCCGCAAGCACCAAAGAATAGACCCTATCTACCTAACAGTTCACCGACTCTGTCTGATCGTGAACCCAACCTCTCTCTCCTTTCCGGCCGCCTCCGACCTCCCTCCCAATCATCTGATAATCCCGAATCCGAATCCTGCCTCTAGCGTCCCCCGCTGATCCCGCAGCATCCTATGATGAAAACTTTAAACTCTCCCTTGTTCGAGCCCCGAGTGACCTTGGCCGTGACCCTGGACGTCTTGACCTTAATCATCTTCCTCGAACGACACTCTGACCTTGGCACCAAATCCTGAACATATATTTTCATGAATTCCTTACGATGACTTTTGAATTTCTGTCACAGCAAACACGCGCCCAAGAAAACATCTTGCCCTGAATACTCTTGCAGATTGCACCGCTTGCTTATTATCAGGAACGCTTGCGAGTCTGCGAATATCTTGGCAACACGGACAGGGCTGCAGTCAGTGACACGGCATTTTCTTTCTAACGTGACACAACGCTTCTCGTGAGATCCTGTTGAAATCACGTTTTTTAAGCGTCATCTTAAGCTTGTTTGCTTTTTTATGCGCGAATCATTCATCTTCGACAAGTTGTGCTTGAATGAAGATCGCATCACTTGCCCAGGCTCACTGCGATGGAAATAGCATTTATCTCAACAGCCGATTTAATCCAATCGTATAAACTCACAGGCTCTTTGATGACACCTGCGAGTCTGGCTGCTGCACAACGGCTTTGATAAGAAAATCGACTGACGGAGAAAGCTCTTTCGGAGAGGCGGCTGTGGGGCAACTTCAAATAAGCCACGCTGGTGTCATTGGCTGTAGTCGCGAATGTAAACTTTAAGCAGATCTTAATTATTTTTCAGTTCATAATACAGCTCTACAAGCGCAAACAAAATGAAAAAAAGACATTTTTTCTTTAAGAGAAAGATATTCCTAATAGCAAGTACATCACTGAAGAGAGCCTGTTGTGTCTCTTACCTCGTGGTTATGGATGTACATTCCGGTGAGGATGGACGAACGAGACGGACAGCACATGGGCGTTGTGGTGTAGGCCTGCGGGAAGTAGGCGCCCCCGTCCTTCATGAGGTTCATCAGTTGAGGCATGTAGTTGAGAGAACCTATGGCAAGAAAGCAAATATGAATGATCAACCGCCGGTTGCAGCATACAACCAAGATGCGAACTTGAAAGCACTACAGGATTTACGAGAGTAAATCCTGTAGTTGGAAGGTAAAGTACAACTGCAAACCTATCAGAACATACCATTCATGAGGATTCAAGAGAAGATTGACACATTGCAGTTCCTGGTCGCAGGGCAAGGAACGGGCACGGACGTGGCAGGTAACTTACCGAGTTCGACGTCCTGGTCGTCGGTGAGAATGAGGACGATGTTGGGCCTCTTGTCCCTTCGCGGAAGGCGCGGCGGCCGGTGCGCCGCATGGACCCTGCGCCACGAGTTCTCGTTTCCAAATGGCGTTTGCGAAGACTTCTGGTACGGCTGCCACCGAGAGTTGGAGTGCGTTCGCGGAGGCACGTTCTGGTTTTCTCTGGGACGTCCGGAGGCGCTGTGCTGGTATCCACTTGTGCCTTGGCGGTTTTGCATGCCAGAGGACCGTGCTGTGCTCTCCTCTGAGGAAGATTGAGTGTGCGGTGCCCTGGCTTGTGGCGCCTGCGACCCATGGGAGTCTCGTGCGCGTTGGTGCGCGTCGCTCGACGTTTCTTGCTGACGATAGGCGGCTTGTCGCGCACTTTGCCGTGCGTGGTGCCGCGCGCTATCTTCCTCGCGCCTCCTTGGCACTGGCGCTATGTGCCCACTATACTCACGGGCGGAGAGTCTGTCCCAGGACGTCCGCTCTGCCAGAGTGCGATCGGAAGGGGCGGTTTCCTCCCACCATGATCTCCTGGAGGAAGTGGCCGGCCGGATCGGGGAGTCGTGGCGCCGTCCTTGGTGCCTGGTGGCGGTCCAAGACACCGCGGGCCTTTCCGCAGCCGTCTCCTGGGGCGAGACGACCCATGCCACCGCCGATAAGGACACCCACGCCAGCACCCAGCCGCTCCTGCACCACACCATGCTGAGATGATCTTTACCCCAGTAACATTATCTGAAAAGAATAGAAACTCTTTGTAATTTTTTGTATACGCTGCAAAATTAATAAATCCTATACAATAGACAGACATTTTTCACTAGTCTGCCTTTGTCACTCCCTGTCTCTTTACATAAACATATAAATATACACGTCTGTATGTATCATCCTTATTGAAATGTCCACACCTGCTGATTGTTTGTCTTGACTCACTGCAGATCCACTTAATGGTAAACAGAAAGTATTCCCGAAATCTGTCTACCAAACGTCTAGGCGCTGCTGCCATAGCACAAGACTGCGGAAGCCCATAACAAGCAGGCAGACAAAAAAGGCCAGGCCGAAACAACCACAGCCGCCACCCTCTCACTAACTTTATTAAGGTGTCAATAAAGGTCAACTCGCCACGTGCAGAGGTTCAATCTTCATCCCAGCCTCCCCTTGGCCTCCCCGCGTCGAGAATCAAATCATGAAAGTCTTGCCGCACGCCGTGGCAGGTCACTCAACTAGATCGCCCATGTAAGGACGCCGCGCACACGGCCCGAATTAACAGCTGATAAGATATGGTTATGCAAACGTTGTTAATGCCAGTAATAACAGGGGAGAAATCAGCTGACGCCCATGGCAACACGGGCTGCCTTCAAGAGACGACCTAGGCAGATGTGCACATTAGTAATGGAGATCGAGTAGTGTCTACGAAGGGATATCTCAGTGCAAAACATGTGGCACAGGAAGGGCATCAGTGCCGCCGCCAGCATTTATCGAGAGCTTTGAGAGGGTCGCTGCAATGAGAAGCTGCCGTGAGGGGCTGGGCGAGCAGCCATGACTTGATCTGCATGTACCTGTCCTAACACAAATATCACTACTGCCTTCAGTAAACATTCATGGTATGTATAAATATTCCTTTGTGTCAAAGCAGCGTATCAAGATGAATAAATCTTACCTATCTATATACTGTTATCCGTTTCCTCTAACAAATACGCATCATTTTTTATGCAAATGATATTCGGACCCGTCACTCGCGCGAATTAGCAAAGCTCACCAGCAACAACCTTCCCACGTCTCGGCCCTTCACCGCCCGCCACTGACGCCCGCCCACACCGCACAGCAGCCGGGCAGGAGACGCGGCGGGCGTGAGAGAAGGGCGCCGCCCTGTATTTCTTCGGCCCATCTCTCATCGCCCTTCACCTGCACGACCCTGTAAGCAAAACACCGGAGGAAAGAACTAAAAAAACAACGAAAATGCCGAGGGCCCTTTCGCCTCAGACGGAATAAGGCGAAAAAGCCTCGGAACATTCAAGGTTTTCCCTACTCTTTCGCTCGTTGATTTGCTTACTCTTTGCTCAGCATGAATCCTCCAGTGCCCGCCCATCCTTCCCTCCCGCCGCCCGAAAAGCTGGCCTTGTGCCCTCGCTCTGCTGACCCTGCCTTCTCGTCCTCTTTCACCTTCACGCGACCTTCCCTCGCCTCCCTTCCCCCGCCAACGACATCTCAAAGAAACATTCCCAGCCGCAGATCCGACAGCTACAACGCAATCACCCGCGCGCATGCCCAGACGGTGACCTCACACTCGGGCCAAGATTTTTCTCGCGCGGGACAATCCAGAAGCCGGGACAACCGCTTGTTAATAGTCACTCGATCCTCGTCGACTGCCCGCCCGCAGCCTTGGCTCTCTCGCCTCCACCGGGCTCGCGCGCCCAGGCCGCCCACGTGAAGAAATCTTCCTTACAAGCGACTTCTGAATATTCCATTCTTCGACTGGCTCGACGTATCCAATTTTTCTTCTTTTGAGTTACATATTTCCCTCAGGTCTTCCCCCTTTTCCCTCGCTCTCTTAGCCCCCTCCCCTCACTCTCACCCTCAGTCTTTCTCTCCTCCTATCTTCTTCCTCCCCCCTCCTATTCCTTCTTCTTCTTCTTCTTCTTCTTCCTCCTCCTCCTCCTTCCCCCTATTCCGCTCCTCAGCAACCACCGTAATGAAATATTCATTCCTCCAATTGGTATTCCATGCCGCCAAACGCCAAAATCCGGGCGCGGCGAAGCGTACTACGATTTTTCTCATCAAGTGAAAAAGTGACGGCGGCGGCGGCGGCGAGTGCCATCACTTATGGATGTGACCTTCTGCCGCTGTTTGGGTGGCAGAGGCAACAATGGCACCGAGAGGTTCTCTCTGTTGGCAGAAAAGGTGGCACGACGATCTAGGGCACACTGTCCAGTCAAAGTGTGGCTTTTGTGATTTCAGTTCCTCCATCCGCCATTGCTGCTTAATAATTGTCGACGAACTCCTCGAGCAATGAGACGAAGCCCGAGGCGGCACTCGGGCGCTTCGAGCAAATGCCACAAGGCGCCGGCAGAGACGTCGCAGAACCTTTGATGCCAGAGGGACTGACATCAAAGGCCAGAAAAAACAGGGCCAGAAAAAAAAACAGAATTATCATATCTATATGTTTTAATTATAAACTAAAATGAGACGGAGCAGAGAGATTTAAGCCACATGCTGAAGCACAAAAAACGTATTTTCTGCATAGTCATCTGACACTTAACAAGTTAAGAATAGATAAGTGTATCACACGGCTGTAAAATAAACCCAAAAAAGGAACTGTCACTGAAACGAATTAAAAGTGACCTCCTTATTTACATTGGGAATTCCTGTCGCTAATGAAGTCGTGTAAGATTAATCTTCACAGGGAAACATGCATAAATGAATTTAAAGTTGAATGGATTGACTGCAGCCGCGGCGAGGGCTGGGCGGGCGGCTGGGCGGAGAAGAGGCGCAAGCGTCCCCGCAGGAGCAGCGGAGGAGGCTCTTGTGAGACCCGGATGCCGACATAATCATATCTAACTTTCATCTTCCCTCTATGAAATCTTTATGAAGCCCTCAGAATTCCTCGGTTGCAAATATTTTGTCTAGAGAAAAACACACAAAGCGTGGGCGCATCTTCTATCTTCTGCCCACTCACTCTCATTCCTTTCCTCTCCTCTCCCACCCCCTTTCGGGCGTTCGCTCTCTCTCCTTACGCAACAGCGCTGCCAATCTCCGTATCGAGACGGGATCGGCCTCCAGACGCATGCAAGATTGATCGAGTGCCGTCTGAGCGCTGGGAAGGAAACCCGCCCGCCCGCCCGCCCGCCCGCCGCGGGCCCGGGGACACGCGCCACCCATTCACGGAGGCCGTCGATATGCGGCCAGGTCACCCGCCGAACCGCCTTCGCGATGAGCAAACAGCGACACGCGTCCCGAGGACACCACGCCTCTCCTACGCCCTCTCGCCATCAAGCATCGGCCACACAAAGCAAACTGCGCCGGAAAATTGATCTCACACCTAGAACAAAGCTAGATGTCGAAGAGGGATTTCTTTTGAAAAATCCCGTCTATTAGGACTTCTGGCGAGTACCGCGTGAAAGGACGTAGAGTGGGAACAGCAAATATAGACAAATTAGCTTCCAGCGCCAATAAACATGGAGTTTTAGTTCATTGCAGGATGGTACAACTAGTTACAGTATGACTGTTGGCAATGTTATAAATACTTTAAGACCAAACTACATCTTTATATATAGAAGCGGTTTCGAGGGTCGAGTCTCACGCCTTTACGAAAGAAAAGCTCAAACTGTTCTACAAATATGTAATTAGTCCCTCCCAAGCGTTTCCTCGTAAAATTTGATTACGGCCTCTCTACCTACACACGGATACAGCCTGGGATGGCGGAGCGCCGCGGAACCCCTGCGAAGCGGAGGCTAAAACACGAGGACATCCGAGTTTCCGCCCGCCAGACCTGTCAGCCACACAGCCCAACCCGCTGGCAGGAGGGTCCCCCTTTTTCCCGCTGTCAATATCATATCACACACACACCTTTCTTTCCCCGACCCTCTTGACAGCATAATGACTTGATGCGCCGTCGG